AGTCTGCTGTAGCAAAACCCCAAAACCCCAAAACCCCGAGTAGAGAAAATTTTGTCGGATTTAGTATAAATTTTTGTTGCAACAAATACCTTCACTAGAAATATATTAATACGATGATCTGGAAACTTTATAATTAAAAATACAAACCACTTTAATTCTTATGGAAAGACAACACTATTTCCCAAATCCATTTTAGTAAAGCAACGATTAAGCCTCTTTTTTGAATAATCTCCTCTATTGCATGGGTTAAATACCAAACCAACAATTTTACAACTCCAAAGTAGGAGTTTAAGAGAATAAGTATTCTAAAAGCGATGAAAATACGAGCTAAACTGATACTCAGAGCTGTAGCTCACACAATTAGGAATCTAATTCAAGTCATACTTATAAAAGGAAATGCCTATTTGGTCTCAAGTGTCGTAATCTTCCCTTTGGAACATGCCAATTTTACCATCCAACTAGTTCCTAGTAAGATTAAAGATCTAAAACCGAAAATGAAAAGTGCGACTACGGGATTGCTTGTAATGATAAGGAATGTAAGTTAACAAAAGAGCATCCAGACTCATAAAAAGGCTATGACTCTTGTTCAGACATTGAATGTGAGCTAGAGTTAGTCAATGTTCCTTGCATTTTTGATTAAAAGTGCCTCAGAGATGACTGCGTATTCGTACACTCAACAAAATCTAAGAGAAGTCCTTAAAAGGAAATGATAGAGAGAATGAAAGATTAAGGTATTAAACCTTCCTAGGAAAATATAGATCTCTTTAAAATATAAGAAGAAGACAAAACAAAGGAAAAGATAGTTTACAGATTCACATAGCGCATGAAGAGTAAACTAGCCATTCAAAAGTACCTTCATGAGCTAAAAAGACTGTACACTAGAGAAATTATTTATTTTGACTATCAAAAGACAGACGAGATCACAGTTGAATACAATATTACAATGAGCACCTGGAAATATGCTGAGAAGTAAGTCCAAGACTACTTGCTACATAAGTTACAACTCATTGTGATTGATGCATCATTGACTTAAGTAAGAGATCGATGTGATCTTTTCAGGAAGGTGATGAAAAAGAAAATCGAATAGATAGGTATCATCGATTTTTGGTTCGATCATCATATTGATCAATTCTCAAAATCAAACTTATCAAAAAAGAATGATCGCCATACAATCTCAATCTTTGGTTTTAGAAAAGATTCTGAAAAACTGGTGAAGCTAAGATCATGCTTAGAGTCCTTTTTGCTAAGTACCTTTAAAGTAGGAAACAAGTAAGACTATGAAGAATTGGAAAACGACTTCATGTATTGATAATCTATTGTACATACTTTTCCATCAGGAAAGTGATTTATTTATACAGTTTGCTATTTATTTAATTTATACATAATTCTATTCATTTTCTACAAAAAAAAACATACATTCCAAACCCTAATGGGGTTTTGGGGTTTTGGGGGGATCGGAAGAGCGTCG